TGCATCTACAACATCGTATCCATACGCATACACTCACAATCAATTGACACGTTGGGTTGGGAGTTGCGATGACTTATTTTCGGATAAAAAAGTTAAAGAATATGCTTAACCACGTGTGTCACAGTGGAAGTGGTCATGATGTGTCAGAACGTCACGTGTGCTCCGAAAAAAGGTTAATGCAGTTTGTAGTCTGCATGTATAATATGATAGTATGTGATGATAGACCATTTCTAAGGAAACAGTAGACAATAGTTGAGCTTAAATATAATCATACTGCTCACACATGGGCCACCGAGGGCTAGCCCACAGCTCTGAGGGCTAAATGATCCTGTATGACGTGGACCGCTAGCATACTGGCTATCAAGGGCACGTAAATGTCTGCCACGGATAGCAATCTGCCCACTGAGGCTGCATGAACTGCCGCTGAGGCCAACAACTTACCCACCGAGGGTTAATACATACTGCCCAACCTAGGCCAGACAAGCCACTATAGAGGCTAATAACATGCCCACCAATGGCCAAAGCAAACTTGCCATCAAGGAATGAAGCAAACTTCCCACCAAGAGCAAAGCGGGATTCACAGTTGTGAACAGTTACAGTGGAGTCCTGATATAACGAACTACATTGTGTAGGATAGTAGTGTACTTTATAGCCGAAGTTTGTTATAACAGAAATGCACTCATACCAGTATACAAGCAGCAAGTCATGACTGGCAGGATTGGATTGGTAGGAAAACAGAGACTGAATTTTATTACACCTCATCTAAGTTACCTTCTTGGCATTGCATCTTCCCCTCCTGCACAATGTCCAGCTTTCTCATGCATTTGTTTACCGCTGCCTGAATGGACGTGCTAGTCCTCTTCCGGGAGATCACTTTACCTTGCTCGCCCATGGCGCCCACATTGCAGCCACCACCCGTGGCCAAGTTTCCGCCCCCTGCTAACACCCGATATGGCTTCAGTGCAGCTGCTGAAGTACTCGCTGCCAGGTGGAACACACTTCCACCGGCTTGCCGCCTGTCTCGTTCATCAGCTGAGTTTTACTCATCCATCAATCTATTCCTGGTGTTCCCTGTAAAAAGGCGTCAACGCCTCTTGGGAATTCCCCAGCAAAATAAGAATAGAAGAAAATAGAAGAAATCATATGGAAACGAGAAGCTACTATCCATGACTCTAACAGTCAAGCAGTCAGAAAGTACGATAACAGGGCACAAACTGACAGGCTACTGAGACATTTAACGAACTGAGGCCTTGCCCTAACACATCTCCAGTGTGGAAACCAACAGCCGTCCAGCTTAAAGCTGTGTTCACAACTGGCGCCTGCATGCTTGAAACCACGCGTTTGTGCGTATTTTTGCTGGCCTTTGGGGCGCCATGCATGCGGAAATGTACCGAAATGGAAATTCCAACATGTTGCAATTTTCAGCGCGTATCAGGCACATATCAGGGTACATTCCAGTCAATTTGACTGGCGGGGTCAAACTGTTAGTTCTCGAAGATGTCGCACGCGCTAAATACGACTGGGATAGCTGTTTTTGTGAAAGCTTGAGCGCGCATTTGGGCAAGCATGAGCCGCAAGCGTACCGCGTCCATGCGCCAATTGGGAACACAGCTTAGAATGTTCAAGGTTTAACATTGTAGAACCAATGATGGGAAGGTGAGCGCAGCGAAAATGTGCACAAGCTAAGTCCTGCGGCAACAAAGAATGCCGACCGTTACAGGACGATGACGAGACCAGTTGATAACATGAAATTGCAAGCAGCGGAGTAATAAAAAAGCACTCAATGCGGCAGAAACTTACTGCGCGTATGCAAACACAGCATGATGTTCGGATTACGCGCACGCTATCCTTCGTTGGTACGTAGTACGAACGTACCTTAGACATGTGATGTGAGTTTTCGCCGACGAAGATCCCATACGCAGAGGTGCACACTCTTGGAGAGTTATATACTGTTGCTGTCATGTTTAGTCATGATCATGACTCAGCTGATTCTACACTTTACCCTCCCAGCTCTCCTCTCACACCACATCTGCTGCATCCTTACATGTAGCACTGATACCATGAGTGCCACAGCTGTAATCTTGCACCATCATCCATCATAATTTTTTACTTGGAAGTATTGTGAAGTTGGTTGCTCCAACGAGGAGCACACGCTTCTTGCCGAACCTGACACTTGACTGACTCGCGACTGCCATCCGGAGCATACGAGGAGCACGTCGAACCTTCCGCTCGGCAAACCTGAAAGAAAGCACCACTCCCTGCTCAATACACAGTGTTTCGGGGAATTCACCCCTCATCAGTTGAGCTTGAGTAGACTGAGGAAGATTGTGGCTGAAAAGCACCACTTTTATACTGCTCTCCAGGCCAAACTATCACCAGGGATACAAATTTACAGAGACGCTTACGCTCAGCCTACTCAAGCTCAACTGATGAGGGGTGAATTCCCCGAAACACTGTGTATTAAGCAGGGAGTGGTGCTTTCTTTCAGGTTTGCCGAGCG